AAGACAGGTGTACGGTGATAGTAGTAACCTTGTAGTGAAGGAGAACACAGGTGAGGGCAACCGAATTGTATTTAACGAAAATTACAGAGTTACTCAGTAAAATAGGAAAACCATATCGTAAACCGTTGTTAATTTGCGAATCTTCAATCCATCATCATCTCCATTGTCTGACATTTCACTGTTCATGCGTTTCATACAAATTCCATTGTGTTCCCACTCTTCCTTTCTTGATCTTCCCTCATCTTCTGCTGCCAGACATTACGTTTTTACTCGCGTCATATACTACTTATAAGTAGAGCGCACCACAGTAAGAAAAATAAAATATGATAACAAAAGTTTTTTGTCAATAGGTAGGTCAAACGTGAATAAATAGTCCTAAAATAATTATTGCAAAACATTAAACTGATTACGTAATCAGAAGTATGTAACAATAATTAGATAGTGAAGAAGAATATAAATGGAAAGAGGCGAATAAAATTACCATCAAAATACAGGATGTTGAAAATGATGCTATTGACATCCGATCAAGAATAGGACGAGGGATGTCACGAATTTTTCCTAAACACATAAATTGTGGCTGAATGTTTGGATTCCTATGATTTCTGCTATATGTAGGCGACGGGATCAAACTTGCCAAGAGAGAGAGCTGCGTATTAGATTTATCAGGCTGTTTCTGACAGTGCTGGGAGATATTCACTCATTCGTTGGTTAATTTGCCTGTTAGTACGCCCGATACAGCTAGCTATCTCCACAGGAGCAGCTGAATATGTAAATTCAGATTTGAGGAGGTCAACTCAGATATAACTTATCTTTTGTTTGAGTAGACATCACTGGTCGACTTGATAAGGTCAATGCAAGTTTGACCTCGTACAATGTCCTACTAATTACTTTCTTTAATCTATCCAGCAGGATTAAACTTTTGTGATCGTATTTTATTATTTTTGCTACTATCACAGTACACCTCTATCTTCCTGCTATCAACTTGTACTTTCACCCGATTATGTGTGTCAGTCAGTCAGATGCAACGTAGAACGTCGTACGTAAGTACATCAGATCATGTTGCCATACCACATCAACACACAGAGGTATAATTGTCAATTCAAATCCAATGGTAGAAGTGGTAGTAAAGGTACTAGAAGTAATCGTAGACGTTAGAATTAGAAGATATTATTCACGAAGTATGATTCAATGAGATAAGTTTAGAAAGTAAAAGCTAGAGGTGTTGAACAACCCAGAAGATTAGGATTTGAGAGAACACAAAGAATAAATGCACCGGCGCCATTGTGAACGATTTTGAGCCATGTCATTCAAGGTCTCTAACCATCATCGATTATTATCATCTCGCGGACCCCAACCAGGTAGTCGACAATTACCGACATGGCTAAGTCCACTGGTCAATGACTTCATGGATTTCTGCCATGTTTTGGTCTGGCCGCCCCTAACTTTCTATATTTCATTGTGATTATTGACTCATACTTAATTGCATTGAATGGTTTAACATTGTTGTTATACACGTTAATTGATATGCTTGAAACTATAACGAGTTCACCTTTAATCGGTAAACGAAAGTGAAGACAAATGATGCAATGACACACTGTAGGCCACTCTAATCCGAGCGTCCCAAGGCTCCACTAAGTAGATGGAGATATCTTCAGAAGGCATAAAAAAGTGTTATTCTACAATCACCCCAGAAAATATGAGGTTCACAAGCACACAAATCAAGTTTATGATAGAAACCTCCTTTAGAGAGCCACAAAAACATCGTACTAAAATAACACATCAACCAATAATAGTCAATAATTTTCCGAATGGGAAATGTACTCTCAAGGTCAACTGATCAGTTCATGCTCGAAACCACAAAATCCAGAATTCGGAACTTTATCATGTGAGTTCTGAGGATATAACGTACCCAACAATTTTTAAAATAAATATTCATGTATACCACAAAGAGTAAAGATCGCTGACGAACTTAATTAAAAACAATATTGTTCGCTTATTATCTGTGTTGTTTGAATTTTCACAAATGGGAATGTTTAATATTTCTATGATTTGAAGAATATTGAAAACTCATCATTACTTACTTACTTACTTACGCCTGTTACCCCCAATGGAGCATAGGCCGCCCACCAGTTTTCTCCAACCAACTCTGTCCTGGGCTTCCCTCTCCAATTCCGTCCGATTTTTGTTCATTCCTCTCATATCTTTCTCTATTTCTCGGCGTAATGTATTCTTTGGCCTTCCTCTTTTCCTTTTGCCTTGAGGGTTCCATGTGAGGACTTGTCTCGTGACGCAGTTAGGTGCTTTTCGTAGTGTGTGTCCTATCCACTTCCACCGCTTCTTCCTGATTTCCTCCTCCACTGGAATCTGGTTTGTTCTCTCCCACAGTTCGTTGTTGCTGATGGTGTCTGGCCAGCGAATCCGAAGTATTTTGCGTAGACAACTGTTAATAAACACTTGTATCCTCTGGATGATGGCTTTGGTAGTTCTCCATGTTTCCGCTCCATACAGTAGAACTGTCTTGACATTTGTATTGAAAATCCTGATTCTGGTTTTAGTTGAAAGTTGTTTGGAGTTCCAGATATTTTTCGACTGTAGAAATGCAGCCCTTACTTTGCCAATCCGTGCCCTCACATCTGCATCAGATCCACCTTGATTGTCGATGATGCTGCCCAGATATGTAAAGGTGTTAACGTCCCCCAGGGCATCTCCATCAAGAGTGATTTGATTGGTGCATACTGTGTTGCATCGGAGAATTTTGCTTTTCCGTTGTGTATGTTGAGACCTACTGCTGCAGAGGCTGCTGCTACACTGGTCGTCTTCTCTTGCATTTGTTGTTGCGTGTGCGATAGAAGAGCCAGGTCATCTGCGAAGTCCAGATCGTCCAGCTGCGTCCTAACTGTCCAGTTGATACCGTGCTTCCCTCCAAATGTTGACGTTTTCATAATCCAGTCGATGACCAGGAGAAAGAGAAAGGGTGAGAGTAAGCAACCTTGCCTGACACCGGTCTTCACCTCGAAAAAGTTTGTCAGCTGACCTCCGTGCACGATTTTGCAGTTGAATCCATCATAAGAATTCCGTATGATGTTAACTATTTTCTCAGGCACACCGTAGTGTCGAAGAAGCCTCCACAGTGTTTTCCTATCCACGCTATCGAATACTTTCTCGTAGTCGATGAAGTTGATGTAGAGTGGTGAGTTCCATTCAATTGATTGTTCCACAATAATCCGTAATGTAGCAATTTGGTCAGTACACGGAAAACTCATCATAACAAAACTTATTTTGTTTCCTTTTTCTTATTAAAATTGTACTATTTTCCTTAATCAATAAGCATAAAATATTTTTTTTACATAATTATTTCTCAAGTTTGGTCGGAAAACATGTTTACTTTTCATCTCTTCCTCACTCGCTCACTCACTCTCATTCCTTTGGTATCCATCCACACCTTTTTAAAAACTTCAGATAAAATCAATATATCTACGTGTGTGTGTGTGTTCACACATATTTTTTTAAATCAACATTTTCTCTTGATTTCCATCCAATTTATCCTTATAATCATCTATATAGTGATAATTATTGTGTAATGTTTGTTTGTTGGTGTGTGTATGCGTGTGCGATTGTTCTATCTATCTATCTCTCTCTTATTCTCAGTTTCTTCATTTCGCGCGTTTCTTGATATCTATTGATTATTGATTTCTGGTTATTGTAGCCATGAAAGCCCGATCAGTAGTAGTAGTAGTAGTATGTAGAATAATGTATGTATGCTTACTTTTACTTTTGTTTTTTCCTATTTTTAAAATTCGGCATACTGATTTTTTTGATAAGTAGTTGTTAAGTTTGCGAATGTTTGGAAATATTTTTTTTTAATTGTTCCTGATAAAAAAAGTTTGATGTTTGAAAAATACTACTGTTTAGAATATGAGTAGTTAAATAATAGTCATATTTATAGCTGGCGTCATTCTTGTAATATGCTGCCAAGTTAGTAAATAACAGTGATTATTAAAATGTATCCAGTGAAATATTAGATCAATGGTCAAGTGATCCCACTTTCACCTAATGCCTCACAGATCCGAGTCTTTTTTGTCCCGTGTTGGGGATGTTAGATCCTCAAAATTCGCTTGATAATGCCTTATTATTTGGTTTTCACGTTTGCCAGCATGGGCTGGTCAGTTGATCTTGAGATTTCAATTCCAACCAAGAAAATCCATGGCTGCGATTAGCTTCTGTGTATTTTAGTGTGCTGTTTTCGTAACTATCCCAAGGACGTTTCTATAATGTATAAATGAACGAGAGTTGTATGCTTGATTGTATTGTGATTGCTGGGTGTTTGTAGAATATACTTTCTACGCTTACAAAGCCTTTTTACTTCAGCCTCGGATTCAAGGTAGCCTACCTGGACGCTGGTAAAAGTCTCGTTCGCGTTTTATCGACTAAGGTGAACTCGTAATAGCCTTAAGCATACTAAGTGACAAACTCTACATCCCGCTGAGTATTTCGGTTTGTACAAGTGGCTAGTCTTCACACAGCGTGTATTTCACAACCTGTAATCTTTAATTTTCAAATGGAGTAATTAGTTTAATCATATCGTAAATTAGATAAAAACCGGACAGTAATATGTCTCAAACCCAGCCGCTATACATCAACATGTCAAACTGGACCAGTGCTGTATTGAATAAACCTTTCTATTATCAGTGAGTAAGGTGAATAGGGAAGTTACACCCTCCTTTGCTTCGATTTGTTCAATGAGTTGGTATCGTAAACTTTAATGTAGAAAGCATTTAGTTTTAAAGAGAATAGGATAAATGAATTAGAGAAAAGAAAAGTTCACTAAATGTTATGTTCGTCACTAGGTACGCTTGAAGCTGTTACGAGTTCACCTTAGTCAATAAATGCGAACGAGACAATTATCAGCGTCCAGATAGGCTAACTTGAATCCCAAGCTGAAGAAAAAAAGGCTTTGTAAGCGTAGAAAGTATATTCTACAAACACCCAGCAATCACAATACAATCAACAATACACAACTCTCGTTTATTTATACATGATAGAAACATCCTTATGACAGTTAAGAAAATAGCACACTAAAATACACAGCAGCCATGGATTTTCCTGTTGGGAAATGGAATCTCAAGGTCAGCTGATAAGTCCATGCTGGCGAACGTGAAATCCAAAGCTAAGGCATTTATCAAGCGAGTTTTGGGGATCTAATATCCTCAACACTAAATGTGAAGAACAGCGAACTAAAAAAACAACGACTTCTCTTAATCTTATAACTTATTACAAACCAAATCTAATCACATTAATCGTCAAAAGCTTTGATTTCATATGATAAAAAAAGACCTATCCAGCTGTGAAGTTATTTCCTCATCACTAAATGAATTCAGTTGGTCAGTCGCAACGGGACATGTGTTACATATGCCCAGTCATCGACGGGCTATGTATTGTGATGTAGGAGAGTAGTAGGCTGGAATAAAGCAACGGGGTCGACCAAACCAAAACATGACACAAATTCATGTAGTCATTGATAACTGTACTAAGTCATGTTAGTAGGTGTAGACTACTTGATTGGGGCCCGCGGGACAATCGTAACCGATGCTTAGTGACCTTGAACGACATGGCTCAAAATCGTATGGAGTCGCACTAATGCATCGGTTCTTTGTCTCCTCTCAAATTTATTTCATTGAATTACACTTTTTGAATAATATCTTCGAGCCGTAATCTTTTTTTCCGATTACTGCTCATACTTCTACTACTTCTACGACTATGGGATTTGAATCGAGAATCGTATCTCTCTGTTAATGTTGTTGTATGGATACTGGGACTGATGTACGTACGTACGAAGTTCTACTATTGAGACTTTCGACCTGGTACGTATGTACATCTATTCATGTTACCTCTCTCCGTAGTAGCACAAAGAGATGAAATTGTCACGGTGAATTTCACATAAGTGACAGGTATTAACAGTATTAATGGTAATAGAGTAGATTGAAGACAAGCAATTGCTTACGACTTTAGGTTATATCGTTTAAAGTATTCAGCCACTAATTACTAAATAATAGCTTGGATGCTAACTAAGTAGTGTATATACCTATTATTACCATTGCTCAATTTCAACTATCAATAACTTCATGAACTGAGGCTATGTTCTAGTCTGGCCGATTCTTCATTTCTTTCATTGAACTCTTCTTACATCAGCCATCATCACCTCGTCGTGGTAGTCGACGGATAGGAACGCGTTTCACTTGTCCTAATTATCTCCATCAGCTTTTGCATTAAAATCCTGAATTGATCATTGTAACCACTAATCGAAAACTGGAACCACTGGACGACTTCTTTGTCCTATTACGTTTCCCTTTAGTAGCAGTCCTCATCTACGATCCCCGCCTGTGGGAATCGAATCCAGTACCTTCGGTCTCGTGAGCAAAGGCTTGATCACTTGACTGACATCGATTCACCGGCTCATCTTCATCTGCTGTCCTTCAGTGGGCAATGCTTTACAGCTGACAGGGTTGAACTCTATTGATCACGGCTTCTCATTAGAACTCGGCGAAACTTCCCCATAGAACGTTAATGAAAATGAAATGTGCTGTTTGAGGAATCTGATTCTCACCCGTGATAAAAGTCTGGAAGATTTATATATATATATATATATATAACACGCTCTTGAATTGTGCACTTGTTGACCAGGTTCACCGTTAATAACTTTGTCTATGTTACTTTTTGTTGGAACGCTTGCTTAGATAATTCCCAGCTAATTCCTATTGCTTAGTATTCTTTGACCACACAATACACTGGACAAGTTCCAAAGAATCAAGAAAACACGGTTGAACAAGAAAAGATTATATTCCAAATAGCAACGTTAAATGGAAATAAGAAGCCAAAGGCCAAAAATAGATACAACGTTAGTCTATTGATAGCATTTACATCAGAAGCTTCTGGATTGTAATTCACGTGATCGATTGGATTAGATTTAGCTAATCAGCATGCAGCTAACAATACGAGAATCTTCTACCCTGTTCTCCAATAATCGATCAGGTGCTGATTGGTAAGGAAACTAGCCAATCAGCGCGCAGCAACGTAGTCATACTTTAATTCCATCTATGTCCCACTGACACTTTTTGTCATAATCTTAAATCATTTAGTTATCTGTGATTAACCAGGTTACGCGTTTAATTACGCTATGCAGGTTCCATCATAAACAAGACAGCTCTGGTCAGAATTAACATACTTTTATTACTATGACCTCTACTCATTTACCATTGATTATTTCATCGTGCTTTGTCATTCAATCTCCTGTATCCGTGTTGAGATTTCGTCAGTCACCAGGCCATCAGCTCTGATGAAACTCCCAAGATAAGTCAACCGGTCAACACGCTCAACTGCTCCACTCCCAATCAACTAGTTCAGGTGCCACCGATACAAGCCAATCCTGAAGCAACAGTTTTACATTTCGACGTGGAGAATCACATCTCGAACATGCTTGCATTGTTGCTTAGTGTAGTCAGGAGACACTGTATTTCATCAGCGTCTTCACCACATAGAACTATGTCATCGGCATACTCTAAGTCGACTAGTGAATCTCCTGATAAAAAAGTCCACTCATGCTTTGTTACGATATCTGGCTAACTTAACTCGTTATACATTCGTTTCTTGTCGTGGTAATAAATTATACTTAACTGACAATAAATTTTTTAAATTTATTGCCAATTTTGTTTTCTTCAGAAAGGTCAATTCTTAGATGGATTTCTATCCACTTACTTCTTATCATGTCATCCACAACCAATGGAAACAATTCAATCATCAAAATCTTTATCCAATCATTCTACCAATGGAAATGGTATTCACGCTTCATCATCATCTTCCAATCCATTATTGCTAAATACTACTACTAATAATCATATAAATAGTAGTAGTGGTGATACAAATTCATTAACCAATCGACTAACAGATAGAAATTTTCTACAGAAATCCACTTCTAATCATTTAAAATTGGATAGATATTCTGTAGAAGAGAAACATATTGATTATTATAGTCGATATGTGTTCAATTCACCTCAGCATAAACATCCAAGTCGTACAAGCTTGGATCATCGTTTACGTTCACGTATTTATTGGAATAATGCTGGCATAACAACGTATGAAAATTTGAAAGATACAATCGTCAGTCCGGTGGAGGTAATTAACGTGCGCGTGTGTGTGTGTGGTGTTTTGTTATGTGATGTTTTATTGTCTAGCTCACAGGGTTCGTCCCATTTGTCTTTTGACCTTGTCAATCATTCGCTCATATCTCTGGGGTCGCCTACGTCGCTTACTAACAAATGTCGCCAAATGACTGTAAATGCTCAGTCGAATGGAGTTGGCTCTCTCACCTTCTCCACTTCAATTCACTTCGCTTTGCTTTGCTTTGCTTATATATGCTTTTTGTCATTATGTCTGCTTGAACGATTGGCATCTTATAACGGCCGTCTCACAAACGAGGTTCGCCTAAGTATAATTTACGGAAACTGATGGGGAGATTTATTTCATAACATACTCGATCAATCATAAATATTGAAGCCGGGTTGTGGGCCACCAAAGTAGTGAGCCCTACATTGAATGGAATACTGCAATCCTAGTATGCATCACTTGTGCAACGCACATCTGCAACCCGTCATTCAAAAATCAAAGTTTGTATTTTTGAAACAACTAGGGAAAATTCGTAACTTGCGTAGAATAGTTTTCAACTGAATCGGTTTAATTTCATTGCTTTCATTATCGATCTGGACAATTTTTATGTAGGCTACAACGTAGAACTTGGTACGTGTATGTACCTCAGTTCAGGTTGCCATAACAAAAACTTAGTATTGAGAGATGGAATTGTTAGTTCAAATCCAATAGTATTACGCCTGCATGTAAATACGTCAGCTTGATATACTTGAACTACAACGAGTTTACCTTAGTCGTAAAACGAGAGCGGGGATCGAGGATCCGGAGACACGACATGCTACTCAAATCCGATTATCCCAACCCCCATATTGAGTAAAAGTAAGAAGACTTGAATATGAAGTAGAACCTGTATTCTAAAAGCATCCAGAAAGTACGAGGTCCGAGTCCAAAAGAAAACCAGGACCGCGGACTAAGGATCAGGGTTCTGGTTATAAAACGTCACAGATAATGCGTATTTATACATTTTGGTCGAATAAGAAACAGCATCGAATTCCGTGACATTGACAGTTGGGATGACCAATAGGAAGCAACATTTGAAGTGACATTGATAATCAGGACAACCGATAATAAACAACATTGGAGCACGGGACATTGATATCTAGGACGACCATAAAATTGACTATTAGGAATTAACCAATAGGAATTGACCAATAATTCTCTTAGGATATTGGATCAATATCCTAACAAATAGTTGTAGAAGTATTAGCAGTAATCGAGAAATACAATTCATTGAAGTGAATTTGAAATAAGAGAAAAAGATCATAATGAATTCAGAAGATTAGCAAGTGAGAGAACACAATGAGTGGATGCACCAGCGCCAATGCAAACAATTTAAAGCCAAGTCATTTAAGGTCTCTAACCATCGGTTACTATTGTCTCGTGAACCTGAACCAGTTAGTGTACATCTACCAACATGACTCAGTCCACTTGTCAGTGGATTCATGCCATGTTATTGTTTGGCCGATCCTTAGCTTTCTTCCAACCTACCTCTATATCGGTTGTCCGAGGATATTCGTGCGACGCTTCAAAGACACTACTTGCTAAAGGTCTTAATTTTGGATTCTATGCTTTGGCGCATGGGCTGATCAGCTGACCCTGAGATTATATTTCCCACCCGACGAAATCCTTGACTGTTATTGGTTGATGTGTTTTTTTAGTACGCTGTTTTTGTGGCTCTCCCAAGGACATTTCCATCATGCAAAAATAAACTCGATTTGTGTGCTTGTGAACCCAGTATTTTGTGGGTGATTGTAGAATACACTTTCTACGCCATATCAAGACTTCTTCCCATAGTTAGCAGGGCGGAGGTCAATCGGATTAGAATAGCCTATCATGTCACTGCATCATTTATCTTCCGAGTAAGATGAACTCGTTATAGTTTCAATCATATCAGTTGACGAGCACAAAAACTTATGATTCTATTCGTACACCGTGGATGTATCTTCTGTTTTCGTAGTCTGTTTCTCATCTATCTAACTAATTCAGAATAGAATACTACACATTACTTTCTGTACAATAAACAGCTGAGTTTTATTTTACCTGCTGGAGAAAATGAATCGATATTTTATCGAACATGTTCCCTTGAACTCTGTCGTTTCAGATTATGCTTTTAAAGCTTCACCTCCATAGCTAACATTATGTAATGTACGAAGACGATACAGTTACTTCCGTACACCTTTTTACCTTTCATGGAGTGCAGAGGCCGCCTACTGACACTCTTCGAAATACTTTTTACGCATAATCTTCAGGCATGAATTTCGAAACGCATATTTCGTCCAATCACACCATACATTTCAATCGCTTGACAGTCTTCTCTCTCTCGGAATAGCAACTTTTGAGCAACCCTTTCGTTGCATACTACTTATATACCACATTGTTAGTCAGTCAGTCAGAGTTAGATGCAACGTAGAACTTCGTACGTGAGTACATCAGTTCATGTCGCCATACCACATCAGCACAGACAGATGTAATTGTCAATTCAAATCCAATAGTAGTACAGGTAGTAAAGGTATTAGAAGTAGTCGGAGAGGTTAGGATTAGAAGATATTCAAGAAATATGGTTCAGTGAGAAAAGTTTAGAAAATCAAAACTTCGTTTATTGATCTGCCATTCTTACCTAGCACCCGTTTCTTAATAACAGCGTTGCTCACTCGTGTGTCCCACGATATACGAGCAATGCTTCGAAGACACCTATGATCGAAAACCAATAACCGACGAATATCTTCTACTGTTACTGGCCAAGTCTCGGATCCGTACAGTAGGACAGAGCGAACTAGTGCGCAGTACACTCGTCCTTTGGTTAGCAAACGGATATCTAACCTATGCCATAAGTGACGCAAGTTGGCAAAAGCCAATCGAGCCTTCTGTATACGTGCTGAGATCTCAGTCACCAGGCCATCGGCACTGATGAGACTCCCGAGATAAGTGAAGCGATCAACACACTCGACTACTTCACTCCCTATCACTAGTTCAGGTGCCGATGAAACCCAATCTTGAAGCAACATTTTGCATATCGACGGGGAGAATCGCATCCCGAACATGCTTGCATTGTTGCTTAGGGTAGTCAGAAGACTCTGCATTTTGTCAGCGTCTTCACCAAGTAGGACAATGTCATCGGCATATTCTAAGTCAGTAAGCGAGCCACCTGATAGCAGGTCTACTCCAGAAAATTCACACGAGGATAATGTTATATCTAGCAACATGTCTATGGTAAAATTAAACAAGAATGGAGAGAGTGAACATCCTTGACGGACACCACTTGAAGTAAAGAATTCCGATGACAGTTCGCCATAAACTCTCACTCGACCACTTTGTAAGTAGTATCCTACAATTATCTTATACTTTCTTCTTTTTTTCTTTTATTCATTTCATAATTTCTAGTCATCAAAATTATCAACAGTTCATTTAACAAATTTTGCTGAAATTGTGTTTTATTTATTTGAAAAATTAATCACATTATCATTTCAACATGAAAACAAGAACAATTCTAATCCTTCTCAGAAGATATCATCATCTAATGGTGAAAACAAATCCTCCTCATCATCATCACCGTCATCTGCTTCCTCCTCCTTCTTCCACTCCTCAAAATCATCACCCTTTGAAATCACTAATTCATTAAAACAAGATGATACTATACCTAGTCAACAATCATTTATCGATCCATGGGATATTACTGATCCATGTTGGAGTGAAGCACTCCTAAATGGTCCACCTGTATCAAATCTAATTCCCAACACCAATAATAATGCTAAACATGAAAGTAACCATCACCGCACATCATCCTCATCACCATCATCATCATTATCACTGTCATCAAATGAACCGCGCTCAAATCACGCGCAATCCACATTGAACATTGAACAAATTCAATCAACAATAAATGATACGCATTGTTTACCAATCATATCAATTACAATGCATGATTTATATCATGCATTGATGGAATTATATGTATCGATTAAAAAACAATGTAAAATATATTTAAATTATTTTTTATTAAAATTTAATACAATTTTATTTGTATTATTTCAATCAACAATTAATTATTGGTTAATAAATTATACATTGCGATTTATGTATCATAATATAATTTCTGATGAAAATTTAGCTAATATGTTAAATAATATTGAAAGTAAGTTGTTGTTTTATTGTTAGTTTAATATTTTTATTATCTTGTTTTATTGTTTATTTATTGAATGTAGTTGGTGAATAGTTGTTTGAACATTGGTGTAAGAGCAGATTAGAAGAAAGTTAGGGGTGGTGGCCAAACTAAAACATGGCAGAAATCCATGAAGTCAGTGACAAGTAGGCTGAGTCATGTTTGTAGATGTAGGCTACCTGGTTGGGGTCCACGAGACGAAAGTTGCCAATGGTTAGAGACCTTGAACGACATGGCTCAAAATCGTTTGCAATGGCGCAGGTGCATTTATTCTTTGTGTTCTCTCTTAAATCCCAATCTTCTGAATTCTTCAACATCTCTAGTTTCGACTTTCTAAACCTTTCTCATTGAATCATACTTCTTGAATAATATCTTCTAATCCGAACCTCTCCGATTACTTCTAATACCTTTACTAACTCTTCTACTATTGGATTTGAATTGACAATTACATCCGTGTGCTAATGTGGTATGGCGACATGAACTGATGTACTTACGTACGAAGTTCTACGTTGCGACTGACTGACTGACAGTCAGCTACAACGTAGAACTTCGTACGTGTGCGTACATCAGATCAGAGATACAATTTTCAAATCAAATACCATAGTGGTAGAAATATGAGCAGTAATCGGAAAAAAGATTAGTGTCTGAAGATGTTATTCAAGGAGTATAATCCAGTGAAATAAATTTAAGAAGAGAAAGATGAAGGTCATGAAGAATTTAGATTAGAATTTCGGAAATCACAAAGAGTGGATACATTTGCGTTATTGTAAATGAATTTTGAGCCATATCATCCAAAGTCTCGCGGACCTCAACCAAGTAGTCTACACCTATCAATCAACTGTAGACGTGTCGATCCTACAGGATGTCAAGCTAATTATCTGATAGTTCGGCCGAAAGAGTGTGTGTGTGTGTCAACCACCAAGAAACACGTATGTCATGCAAGATTGATCTCCAGTCAATTCCTTTTAATAGTCCAGTATGCGGAACATAGAACCTGACACAAAAGTATATCGGTTCAAATTGTTTAAAACTTGCTGGCACACAGAGATGAAGTTGTCAAGTATCAAATATTGAATGTACGATTTGATTAATGGAATGTAAGAAAATGTAAATAGGAATTTTAATATTTAGGATTTAAGGGAAATATCGAATGAACCTATGTCATTGTGAACCCCTCTACCTCTACAGTCAGTAAGTAGTACGACTTCAACCTCAGACCTTGAGTAGCTGCTTTTAGTCTCATCGTTCTCCAATCGACCTGCCTGGCATAGTAGTAGCTTCAGGAACATATTTTCCAGCCAGCATAGCTCGGTTGGGTCATCACGATAGGCAAGCCCGACCACCACGTCAAGGTAGCAGCTTTGATTGGGTGTATAATAATATAATTTCTGATGAAAATTTAGCTTCTATGTTAAATAATATTGATTGTCCCCAATGTCTAAGAAAGAATAAAAGTCTTCTTGTGCAATCACAGGGGAATAAAGTCTAACTAATGCAGTATCTAAAATATTGTCCTAAAATAATACTTCGACGCTTAATGAAAGCTCATGAAGAGCAAACTCGAGAAAATTAGGCTGGTTTTTGACCTGGACGTGGTTTTGTGTACACCACACTTTCACACTACGACAGGTCCTGGAACATAGACACACATTTAGGCGTCATACAATAGTTGTTTTCCTGGACCTAAAAGCGGCATTCGACTTAGTGGATTGTGAGGTTCTGTGGCAGTGTTTGTCATTGAAAGGTGTACCAAAGAAGTACATTAACCTTATACAAGCTCTTTACTCGAACACCACTGGTCGAGTGATAGTTTATGGCGAACTGTCACCGGAATTCTTTACTTCAAGTGGTGTACGTCAGGAATGTCCACTTTCTCCATTCTTGTTTAATTTTATCATAGACATGCTCCTAGAAATAACCTTATCCTCGTCTGAATTTTCTGGTGTAGACCTTTTACCAGGTGGCTCGCTGATTGACTTAGAATATGCTGATGACATTGTCCTACTTGGTGAAGACGCTGACAAAATGCAGAGTCTTCTGACTACCCTAAGCAACAACGCAAGCATGTTCGGGATGCGGTTCTCCCCGTCGATATGCAAAATGTTTGCTTCAAGATTGGGTTTCATCGGTACCTGACCTAGTGATAGGGAGTGAAGTAGTCGAGCGTGCAAACCTCTTCACTTATCTTGGGAGTCTTATCATTGCTGATGGCCTGGTGACTAATGGAATCTCAGCACGTATACAGAAAGCTCGATTGACTTTTGCCAACCTTCGTCACCTATGGCGCAGGCGAGATATCCGTTTGCTGACTAAAGGACGAGTGTACTGCGCAGTAGTTTGCTCCATCACATTGTGTGGGTGTGAAACATGGCCAGTGAGAGTAGAAGATATTCGTAGGTTACTAGTATTCGATCATAGATGTTTAAGAAGCATTGCTCGTGTATCGTGGGACAACCGTATAAGTAATGCTGTCGTTGGGAAACGAGTTTTTGGTAAGGATGGCAGATCAATAGATGAAGTATTGAAACTTCATCAGTTGAGGTGGTTGCGACATGTGTTACGTATGCCTAACCACCGGCTGCCGCGAGGAGTTATGTTTTGTAGTGTAGGAGTAGGTTGGAAGAAAGGTAGGGGTGGCCAAGGCAAAACATCGCACAATTGCATGAAGTCATTGACAAGTAGATATTGGAATGTCAAATTTCCGTGACAAAAATACCACTTATTCCTTTCAGTTTGTGTTAACACTTGGAAGGATCTTAGACAACATTATTTCATGATTTTTTTTAGTACGTCATTTTTTGACTATTTCACGTGAATAAAATGCGTATTGATTCATTAACTCGCAACTGTTCGTAGATTAGATGTTAGATGTCTTGCTGACTGTAGACTTCTTTATTTATTAGCAAGGTTTGGCTGTAAAGAAATAGTTTAGATTTGTTTTCGTATTGTGATATTGTTTGTACGTTTCGTTCGTTGATACCGAAATTGTATCTTAATTTTTGAAAGTATCGTATCAGTTCTAGAATGCAGACACACCAAGCTGATCAGTGTCAGTCAGATAGAAAGAAACGTGCCTCTTGCGCTCCACTAATGACTGTATCCAATTCATCTTATCTAAACTATAACAAATCGTATGATATAAACATGTAATCATGTCATCCTTACTTACTTGCTTAGTTATGCCTGTTACCCCCAATGGAGTATAGGGCGCCGCCGACCAGTTTTCTCCAACCAACTCTGTCTGTCCTGGGCTTCCTTCTCCAGTTCTGTCCAATGTTTATTCATTCCTCTCATATCTTTCTCTATTTCTCGGCGTAATGTGTTCTTTGGCCTATATATATATATATATATATATATATATATATATATATATATATATATGTTCGTTAGTTACCCATAGTTATATATATATAATAATTCTAGCTTATTATTATGTACACATACGTATATAGTCACATTTGACTGACTGACTGACATGATGTTGTGTTAACGAGTTGTTTAATCTTGTTTGTTTGTTTGTGTGTTTTTCATCCACTTACCATCCTCTCTCTTTTCTTATTATCATCATCTAGAAAATATTTTCTCTCATTCTTCTAAAAAGTAAGTCTATTTAATTACGATTATTATTGCTATTGTTATGACTATTTTTTCCATGTTTTTTATTGTATTATATAATGTCGTACAACTTTAAAAATAACATAAATTTGTTTGTTTTTTTTACACCCTTCTTACTACTTAGTATTCATTGCTTATATATTTCAAGACTATTGTATAAATTATACATTTGAAGCCATGAATCGATCAATCAATCATTGTTAGACCAACATCATTAGTAGAAACTTGGAAGCACTGACAGACGGCTGTTTCGTCCTCCTGGTATGGGACTGCTGATGAGTCCCATACCATGACGATAGGGCCATATAGTGCTTCCAGGTTTCTACTAATGGTGTTGGTCTAACAATGATTGATTGATTGATGATTTTAAATGTGTAACTTGACAATCTTCACAACCTCGTCATGTATTGTATAAGTATAAATAACATTATAGACTTATGCGTCTGTTACGCCTGCAGGTGAACACGTCATTTTGATGTGCTTGAACTATTACGAGTTTACCTTAGTCGGAAACGCGAGAGCGAGGACCGAAGATCCGGCGACACGACATGCTACTCAAATCTGATTATCCTAACCCCCATATTGAATTAAAATAAGAAGACTTGATATGAAGTAGAACCTGTATTCTACAAGTATCCACAAAGTACGAGGTCCGAGTTCAGAGGAGAATCAGGATCCCGGACTATGGATCTAGGACCGGGTCTTGATCCAGGTCATAAAACGTTACAGATATTGCGTATTTATACATTTTGGTCGAATAGGAAACATCATCGAATTCTGTGACATTCACAGTTAAGACGACCAATAGGAAGTAACATTTGAAATGACATTGATAGTCATGACAACCAATAAGGAACAAGATTGGAGCACGTGACATTAATATCTAGGACGACCATAAAATTGACCAATAGGAATCGACCAATAATAATTCTGTTATGATATTGGATGAATATCCTAACACAGTCATTTGATAAGATTGTTAATATTTGTGAGAGAGTGTATAGTTGTGTCCATCGGTATTAGTGATAATAATCGTCTAATCCACTGATCATGGTTTCTATTATTGTTACGCTCGTCAAAACTATTACAAGTTCACTTTACTCGGTAAACGAGATCCAGTGACAAAATAGGCCTATTCTGATCTGAATTTCCCCGGCCCTGCTAACTAAAGCAAGAAGTCTAGATAAGGTATAGAAAAGTGTATTCTACAAGCACCCAGAAAATATGACGTTGACAAGCATACAAATCAAGTTTATTTATACATGATAGAAACGTCCTTGGAAGAGTTACAAAAATAGCTTACTAAAATAACGCATCAACCAATAACAGTCGAGGATTTCGCCGGGTGGGAAATGTAATCTCAATGTCAGCTGATCAACCCATGCTCGAAAACATAAAATTCGAAATTAAGACCTTTCTCAATTGAGGTCTTGGAGATCTAACATCCCCAACAATTATAAAACGAGAAATCCCCCGCCCTCACAATTTCCTGTGGCGATTAGGTCTTAGCCTCGACTCTTTGACAAGGTTGCATACAGGTGTCTTCTAATTCTCAACTGTCATTGTCTAAACCTTTTAGAACAATAATCATAATCAGTTGTTCAGTAAATTCTGATCTCGTGAAGTAATTCTTTGAGTTGTAGAAACAAGTTGTCATTAGTGAATTCCACCTATTGTAACGCTTGCTTAAATAATTCCCGGCTAAATCCTATTGCTTAATATTCTCTGACCACACAATATACTGGACAAGTTCCAAAGAATCAAAAAACACGGTGGAACAGGAAAAGATTATATTCCTAATAGCAAGGTTAAATGGAAATAAGAAGACAGAAGTGATGGCGAAGGCAAGGAAGGCAAAAATAGATACAACGTTAGTCTATTTATAGTATTTACATGAGAAGCTTATGGATAGTAATGCACGTGATCGACTGGATTAAATTTAGCCAATCAGCATTCAGCTAACAACACGAGAATTTTCTACCCTGTTCTCCAAGAATCGATCATGCGCTGATTGGATAGGAGATTAGCCAATCAGCGCGCAGCAACGTAGACGTGCTTTAATTCCATCTATGTCCCACTAACACCACCAATGTTGAGTATGATACATTGACACTTATCAATGACATTCGATGATAGTTGCTCACTTATCGTAACTCGATTGAAGTTCAGCAAGTAAACAATTGGTTCACTGATAGATAGTCTAAAGGTAACACACTCATTGCGTCATCTGAAGACTCAGATCTCCATTCCCAGTGAGACTTTTTGAATACACACTGCTGAAGGAGTGAGTATCTATCATGTTAAGACGAAACAGATCATTTTCCTGATTCTTAGTTTTCATTTTGTTTTCTTCCTGTACTTATTCTCTGTCACCCTCTTCTTCATCATAGAATTGATATGGACAAGTCGGAACGTAAAGAGAAAGCACGTATGGCTATTGAAAAAGCAATTCTAAGTAAGTATTCACTTTTTATTCTAAATATTGTACATATTTGAGAACACTATAAAATGAAATCATGACTAGTAGAGTTTATTTGTGTTATACTCGTCACTATAGGTATGCTTGCAACTATTACGAGTGTTCACCTTAGTCGATAAATGAGAATGAGACAATGAGTCAGCATACAGGTAGGCTACTCTGATCCCTTGACCCAAAAATACTAATGAGAAGTGTTGATGTAGCGTAGAAAGTGTATTCTACAAACACCCAGCCAGCACACAAATCGCGTTTATTTATACACAGGCAGGTTCAACCATGCCTGGAAGGTTGACTGAAGAAAGATGAGACTAAAAGCAGCAACTCAAAGTTTGAGTGCGAAGTTGTACATCTGACTGTAGATAGTTGTGACAGTAGTAAGATATTTCCCTCGGACAACCAGCATCTGCAGCGATGCAGGAAGCTGTTAGAAAGGGTTGACCCTAGAAATGTCACACCTCACTTTAATTCATGGATTTCCATCTCCAACGGTAAGGCCATTCGAAGAACGGAGTTAACATGTCAACTTACTGCAAAAAGGCCGTGTGTAACCGGCTCTGCGATCACACTCCCATATCTTTAAGGCTAACAATAATTCACCTTTTTCAGGTTCCTCAAATTAGCACAGATAGATCGAATTGTCACTTCAAATCCCATACTTGTAGAGGTAGTAGAAGTATTCGCAACAATGAAGAAGATTAGAGTTCGGAGATATCATTCAAGACGTATAATCCAATGAAATGAACCTTAAAAAGGGAAAGATAGATGGGGATGAGGAATTTAAAAGTCTAGAATTTGAGAGAACACAAAGAATTAACGCATCTATATGTCATTGCAAATTATTTTGAGCCATCTCATTCCAAGTCTGTAACCATCGGTTACTATCGTTTCGTGTTGTACCTTAACCAAGTAGTCTATAACTACTAACCCTAAATAAGACAAAATGCGCATTCTTGATTACATCAACTGATAACATTTTACATGAATAGCCAGGATTTAGCGAGAAATACATCAATGTTCAAGAACGTTTAACCGAGTTCTTACTGAATATTGATTGGATAGACTACTTAAGTCGTTTTCGTCACTTTCACAAACATTCACCAGAAGTTTTCTTAAGAACACTGGAACAGTAGTAAAAACGAACAATTTATTTCTATTTACGAAATTGCATTGAATATCTTTCGTTATTTTGTCAAAGAACCGAAATGTCCTTGGTTTTTAACCACATGTATGGATTTGTCAATATGCACTGTAACTGTTCAGAAGCTGATATACTATATTTTCGTAGTTGAAATCATCAATCGATCAATAGTTAGACCAACATTAGAACATCTGACGACTGTTTTGGGCTTAGTATGAAACTTCTCACCAGTGCGTATCTATGATTTTTAACATGTAAGAAACGAACTTTGGGAATTTCGGTCACGCACAGAAACGCTTAATCTCTAGACCAATGACTCAGGAGATCCAATGGTGCAAAATGTCACCACCTTCAATCCATTTATGATGTTACGCAACCTTTATCCATTGCCCGCAGACCTTGAGTTGCTGCTTTTAGTCTTATCGTCCTGCAATCGACCTGCCTGACGTAGTAGAACCTACAGGAACATATGTTCCAGCCAGTATTGCTCGGTTGAGTCATCAGAGTAGGTAAGGCCGACCACCATCACGTCAAAGTAATAGCTACAGTCGGGGCTAATTGTAGTATCACAACTTGAACTATGATGTGCCTACGTAAGCACGTACCTACGTTCAAAGTTCTACGTTGCAGCTGAGTGACTGACTGACTGACTAAATGTTAGGATATTCATTGAATATCCTAAGAGAATTATTATTGGTCAATTCCTATTGGTTAGTTCCTACTGGTCAATTTTATGGTCGTCCTATTGATATCAATGTCACCTGCTCCAATGTTGTTCTTATTGGTTGTTCTGACTATCAATGTCACTTCAAGTGTTGCTTCCTATTTGTCGTCTTAACTGTCAATGTCACAGAATTCGATGCTGTTTCCTATTCGACCAAAATGTATAAATACGCATTATCTGTAACATGTTATGACCAGGACCAGGACCCGGTCACGGATCCTAGTCCGGGATCCTTATTCTCTTCTGGACTCGGACCTCGTACTTTCTGGATGCTTGTAGAATACAGGTTCTACTCCACATTCAAGTCTTCTTATTCTTATTCACTCAATATTGGGAGGTTGGAATAATCAGATTTGAGAGTAGCATGTCGTGTCACCCACCGTCTCCTCAATCCTCACTCTCTCGCATTTTCCGACTTAAGTAAACAACTCGTAATAATAGTTCAAGTATATATATATATCAACTTGACGGACGTGTTTTTCCATGTAGGCGTGTAACACTAAATTATTTTATGTAAAAATCAATTTTTGTGCATTTTTCTATTTCCTATCATCAATGTGTTTTTTCCTTGCTTTTTTTTTTATATAGATATTACTGGTCTATCATATATTACTGATATTGAATTACTACGTGATCAACTGATACGTATCTTTAATTGTTTTCAATATTGTAAATGCAATAAACAATTGACATATATTTTGTTAGATCAATTTCTATTAGAATTATTCCCGGAATTAAATTTAACTCATTCTGATAATGATAACATTAGTATAAATGATGATACATAGAGGTTGAGTTATGCTATTCTTGTGATCAAACTCTATGTGCACACCTATCTCTCTGTCTCTCTCTCACACAGACATGCACATGCATAGTTGTACAGAAAATGTGACTTGCTTTCTTTGGTTGAACTATGTGTTGTATATTAACTCTCTAATTCAATTTGCACATAATACTACTGTAGTACTCAGCCTACTACTACTACTGCACTTACTAGACATCTCATCCACAGACATATATGCTCACAGACACACACACACACCCAAACGTATATATATGGATCATATATACCTGTATACAGATAGATAGACAGACAGAGTCATGATTTATCATTAGTGATGATTATCGTTTTGACTTAACATTTTGTTTGCTTTGTTTTTTCTCCTCATATTTTACTGTATTGTACTGTACTTTAATGTACTGTATTGTACTGTGCTGTACTATTTGTCTTTCGTTTGTTAAATGACATTTAAAAAAAAAAAAGAACGGGTGATTTCTTGTTTGATGTTTATTTGAATTTGAATCTGATTTCAGCATAGAACACACACTGGCATAATTGAGTATCAACAATTGTGTTTATTGATTATCGATATGTGGTGGGGTGGGGGGAGGGGATAGTGTTGGGGTTTATTAGTAGGGTGGAATGTAGAAGTTGTGTTGTATTCTCTGTTTTTGTGGGATGACTTATTAGTTAAAGTTGAATATGGTTGTATTATCTCAAAGTTATATCTCTTCTGACTACCCTAAGCAACAATGTAAGTATGTTCAGGATGCGATTGTTCTCGTCTTGGTTGGGACATGTGTTACGTATGGCTAACCACCGACTGCCTCGTCGAGCTATGTTTTGTAGGAGTGTAGGAGTAGGTTGGAAGAAAGTTAGGGGCGGCCAGACCAAAACATGGCAGAAATGCATGAAGTCACTGACAAGTGGACTGAGTCATTTTGGTAGATGTAGGTTACCTGGTTGGTGTCCGCGAGACGAAAGTCACCAATGGTTAGAGACCTTGAATAACATGGCTCAAAATCGTTTGAAATGGCACAAGTGCATCCATTGTTTGAGCTCTCTGAAATCCTAATCTTCTGGATTCGTCAGCATCTCTACCTTTGTCTCTCTAAATTATACTTGAATAAAATCTTTGAACCCTAGTCTTCTTCATTACCATTAATACCTCTACTATCTTTATCACAATGGGATTGTGCTAATGTGGTATGGCAACATGAACTGATGTACATACGTACGAAGTTCTACGTTGCAACTGACTAACTGACTGAATTATCTTGGGAGTCTCATCAATGCTGATGGCCTGGTGATTGATGAAATCCCAGCACGGATACAGAAAGCTCGATTGGCTATCACCAACTTGCCTCACTTATGGTATAGACGAAATATCCGTTTGCTTAGCGAAGGACGAGTATACTGCGCAGCAGGTCGCTCCATTCCTACTTTATGGCTGTGAAACATGGCCAGTTAGAGTAGAAGATACTTGATTGAATGAGGCGAAGTGAAAACAAAACAGTTCAATGTTTTCTGTGTACATTATGTGTAAGGCTCAAATGAACTATGTACCTAAATTTAAAGCGCTTCATTCTTAAGGACAAACTTTAAGCCTCTAACTGTAAATCTAAATTGTAACCTTACTGAGGATCAATCTAAGAAATGGTACTTTGTGCCCACTTTGTAAGATTTTCGAAAAATCGATATTCCATGTTTGTGTATACGAATATAAATGATATTTTTCCAAATAAAGTAACCTTTTTAAACGATTAACTTATTATACAAAAAAAAACAGGGCTGAGCAAGTCTATCATTTATAAATGAACCAATCAAATTTCAGACAGTAAGTCTTTGATTTTGGGGTGAAATTCATTCAGCTTCTTTGATTAAATAACATTTTTGTCATGATGGCTGTTGTCAGTTCATGATGGGAACTACCCCTCTTGGCAACATTAAACTTGAAATCCTTTTCCTACATCCTCGCGACTGGACTACAGTGTAGACGAATGATCGAGTATGTGATGAAATAAATCCTCCTGTCCATTTCCATGTGTCGTAATTAGGCAATTACCGTTTGTGCGCGATGGCTCAAAACCGTTCGCAATGGCGCCGGTGCATTTATTCTTTGTGTCCTCTCAAATTCTAATCTTCTGGATTCTTCAACACCTCTAGTTTTGTCTTTCTAAACTTATCTCACTGAATCATATTTCTTGAATAATATCTTCTAATCCTAACCTCTCGGATTACTTCTAATACCTTTACTACCTCTTCTACTGTTGGATTTGAGTTGACAATTATATCTCTGTGCTGATGTGGTATGGCAATATGAACTGATGTACTTACGTACGAAGTTCTACGTTGCATTTGACTGACTGACTGTGCGCGACGGCGGTAGTAAGAATCCAAATACGGTTTCGCGGATGAATGTATTTCATGCATTCATTTGAACAGACAGACGTGGGAATGTTAAGTGTAGAGACGAAGGCGAAGTGATTACGAGAAAGTGATTGAACCAACTTTCCATGAGCTGAAGAATGACTAAGTATTTATAGTCAAGCAATAATAGACCAGACATGTACTAAGCGAGTAAGCATCGGCATACACAATCAAATATACAGTAATCTGATATGTTCGTCACTAGGTACGCTTGAAAATATTGCTAGTTTACCTTAGTCCATAAACGCGAACGAGACAATTACCAGCGTCCAGATAGACTACCTTGAATCCCAAGCTGAAGATAGAAGGCTTTGTAAGCGTGAAAAGTATGTTCTACAAACACTCAGCAATCACAATGCAATCAAGCGCACAACTCTCGTTTATTTGTACATCATAGAAACGTCCTTGGGACAGTTACGAAAATAGCACACTAAAATACAACACAGCAACCAATCACATCCATGGACTTTCCTGGTGTTAAACGAAATGTCAAGGTGAATCGATCAGCCGATGCTTGCAAACGTGAAATCCAAAATAAGGCATTTATCAAGCGAGTTTTGCGGATCTAACACCCCCAACATAATCGATACTGTAGTCTCACTGTTACAAATATGAAGAAATGGTTGATACATTCATCGAATAATTTGAACGACTAATTATTAAAGTACAATGAAATGAATGTCGTGATGCTACAAACTTCTTTTAGTCCTACTAATTAGATGAAACTCCTCAAGGTCATCTTGATACATAACCTGAAGATCGTCCATAATGTATAGTTCCGCCCGTTAACCTAATGACAAACATGAACTATAAATTGTGTGATTTGTAGAGAGGCTAGCGAGCCAACTCCATTACCGTCATAATATAATATCATCATGAATCAGAATAATAGTTCTTTCACATTAATCCGATAATCTTAACGATAATTGGATAATTCGAGAAATGGATTCACGCAGCGAGTTAATACGTAATCGAAATGATAATAAGATAATACGATTTTTGTATGTGCATATAACCGCTGAAATGGGTTTGCTGCTTTCGTCCGATGAGAGAGTGCGTTGTCTGTGTTGTATATTGAATCTGATTCGTTGATTCGTTCAGCGAATTCATTAAATTCCTGAGCTGCTTTGTCGCTGTATGGCGTTGGGATTTCCAGCTAGTGGTTCTGTTCGATTTGTCCTCGAGATTACCAACTGGTTGGTTGTATTCGATTTGTCGCCGGAATTGTCAAATTAATCCTGGAAACGTCGGGGTCACCATTTGTGGTGTGTCGATGCCTGTGCATGTTCTTAAGCTCGGTAATTAACTCGTTCAGATAATCGTTACCAAATAGCGTCTGACGGTTGATAAACCAGAAGATGAACACAAAGTGATGAATACGTTTATTCGGGACACACCACAAAGCAAAGTGGAGAAGCAGTGAATAAAACAAATGAAGCGACGTGAATTGGAGAAAGCTGTTGAGCCAACTCCAAGAGATAGAGTATGACTAAGAATATTATTCAGACAAAAATAAGACAGACATATGACAAACGAAATAGGCATGCATAGACATGAACAAAAACGACGAATGACTGACAAGGTCAAAGGTAAGCGAGACAAGTCATGTGAGTTCATAGGGGTAGTAAGATATTAACATCAAAGCGAGAAGGATGAGTCAGCGCGTAGGCGTAAGCAATGCTCAGTCGTACAAGCTCATAAAAACTACACAATAAAAAATACCAATGGTACATATAGGTTGTTGCTATACAAATAGCGTCAAAAACTATTTACAAAATAAGTTTGTCATGCCATCTCCATCTTTTCATACTATCATTATTGATTTCTACACTGAACTTAATGAGTTCATGATCTAATCTATGTACAGATTATTAATTGTGAATATTCAGTCTGGTGGAAGGAAAATCTCTATCTAAAGTCCTATTATCGTTTAATTGTCCGCGGTCTGGCTCCAACGTAGACAAACAATTGAATACACTATGAAGTAAATCTTCCTCTCAGTTTCTGTATATCATTCTACGGCGAACGATGTTTCTGCGACAGTGGTAATAAGAAGCTAGATAGAGATTCAATTGGATGAGTTTATTTCATCCACTCGTGTTTACTCAGACACATGAGAATAGGAAGCACAAAGGCGAGTGAGCCAACTTTATGCGATAAGGCACGACTAAGTATTCATAGTCAGATATAAATAGGCCAGGCCTGCGATAAGCTGAGTAAGTATGTACACACATACCAGTAAAAAGAGCCAAGGATATCAGAGAATAGTAGTCAAGGTCGAAAGACGTGTGAATAACTCGAGAAGAAAGGGTTAATTGAATTGTTTAAAGGCTGAAGCAAACTATATGTGCTCGGTGTATCTGCGCACCCGCTACAGTTGCATTCCAGTAGTAGTATGCTATAATAATAATAATAAGTTCTTTTCGTTATTACTTAAGTATGCTCGTTACTCCCAATGAAGCACAGGCCACTAGGTTTCGCCAACCTACTCTCTCTCCCGAGTTCTGTTCCATTGTTGTTTATTCTTGCTAACTATCTCCATTTCTCGCCGTAATGTACCCCTTGGCCTTCCTCTTTTCATTTGGCCTTGAGGATCCCAAATGAAGGTTTGTCTTGTGAAGTCAAGCGATGATTTCTGCAATGTGTAATCTAACTACCTCCAGTGCTTCCTCCGCTGAAATCCGGTTTGTTCACTCACATGGTAAGTTTCTTCTGATAGTGCCTAGCCAACGGATCTGAAGTATTTTCAGTAGATAACTAAAAATAAACACTTATATATCCCGGATCATGGTCTTTGTGGTTCTCCAAGTGGGTCTCTTGGTAGAAGATCCACCTTCGAAAAGTCGGATGAAGATAATATTATCTCTAAAAGCATGTCTATGAAAAATTTAAAACAGAATGGAAAAAATGGACTACATTGACAAACACTATGCGAAGTAATTAATTACGATGACACTTGGCTATAAGCTTTTACTCTACCAATAGTGTTTGAGCAGATATCTTGTACAAGTTTAATGTACTTATTTGGTACACTTTTCAATGACAGACACTGCCACAGAAGCTCACGATCAACTGAATCTAATTCCGCCCTAAGGTATTGAAAT